CATGGGACTGCTGCATAGTTGCTCCTTCCACTTGAAACCCTGTGCTGTCTCTTGTCAACCACCCTGTCCCCATTTGCCTAGTTAACTTCTCTGGATTCAGTACATCTCAATTTAAACTCTGCTTCCTCCCTGACCAGTGTGATCCTGCTAACCCCTGTTGAAGACATCCTCCTCCCAGGAATGCCAGCAGCTACCTAACATCTCTTCATTACGACTTACTTTTAATTAACATGGTTGGGACTTGCTCCTTAGGATTTCGCAGGATCCTGAACTACCAAGTGTCTACCATGGAGCAAGTGCTTAGTAACTATTTGATGGGTGAAAGAAGGCATGCATGCATTGCCTCCACTCTTAGTTTACTTCAGATCTGTTGCAGTCGAGAGTTAATAGTAGCTTGAAAAGTTTCATAAGCAAATGCCACTCTGGCGTTAACCCAGTAAGTAGGAAAGGGTGATGGCGCCTACCTGAAGCAGTGATAAAGGCACAGTCAAGAACCAAAATTGTGCCAGCAGCTATCCCCACCGGTCTCTGGGAAAGAGGAACAGTCTAGTGCCTGTGGCTGGGGCAAGATGCCAGGACGGTTGCAGTGCTTCTGTTTGAATCTATTACAATTTCTAGGTGGATCTTCAATCTCTAAATGTTTTAATGATGTTGTCACCTAACTGAAAAAAAAAAAACCACTCTGTGGTCCAGGAGGCAGTGAATAAATATCATACAGTTTGAACTTTTGTGTAGTTTTTGTATCTCATCCAAATTGATTTTTTAAAGGGCACAGCTGACATACAGAGAATTCTCAGAAAGTTTACTAAGACTCAGCTGTCCTGATAGTGGGCTGGCCCGTGTACTAGGGGCCCTGAAAGAACATTGTCTCCCTAGATTTTATTTGTTTGCTTTGAGAATAGGGTGAGAAGAAGTGTGAAGGCGAGCTAGCTATTCATGGCCTTAAAGGCAGGGTAATGTCCTTCCCACTGGTTTGGTTTGGTTTTGAGATGGTCTCCTGTAATCCACATTGACCCCAAACTCTGAGATATCAAAAGTGACCTTGAATTTCTGCTCCACCTGCCTCCTCTTCCTAATGCTGGGATTACAGGTGTGTGCTGCAACATCTGGTTTGATATTGATATCAAATAGAAATTAATTGACTGCTCCTCCATTATTTCTTACTCGATGGAGATGACGAACTACTAGACTCAATTGTGAGGACATCTGATACCTAGGAGACTTGAAGACCGCTGTGCCAGAACCTGAAAGTAATTTTGAAAAGCTTTTGGAAAAGGCTTTCTGTTTTGTAAAGAGTTCAGATAAGGGTTACCAGCTGATTCCAAAGAAAGCCAAGGGCATACTCTCTAATATCTGAAAATACTTTATACTACTTTAGATGGTTTATTGACTTAGAGATCATACTATTTAAAATAGTTAACTGAGTTAACATTGAAATTGAGTTAGACTTTGTTTGACGTCAATTTTATATTGGAGTTAAGATATTATAAGTTCTAGGGCAGGTGGTGGTGGTACATGCATTTAATCCTCAAACTCAGGAGGCAGAGGCAGGTGGATCTCTGTGAGTTCGAGAACTGGTCCACAAAGTGTGTTCCAGAACAGCCAAGATTACAGAAAGAAAATAAACCCTGCCCCTCCCCCAAATAAAAGATATTGTAAGTTTTTTACTTTATAAAAAGTATTTTAAGAGGTATTTATTACAGAAGATAAGAACCTATCTTAAGTTCTCTTTGTCTCAGTTAAACTTTAACTCCCAAAGTTGACTCAGTACAGGATAATGCCTTATGGAGAAATATTCTACTACTGGGGATGTTTGTACACGGATGTGAAAAAAAGCAGATGTTGTATGGGACAAATATTGCAGCTGCTCCATGGTGGGCACTAAGGGGATCTGCTGGGAGACAGTGGTCATGTACCCTGTCACTTATATGAAGTAGTAAGGGCGATGGGGCTGCGTCCCCAGCACCCCGGCCACCTGCTCGGCTAGCTTATGATTAAACCGAAAAAGGGGAAGTGATGGAGGAAGGTCATTGGCTAATAAAGGAACTGCCTTGGCCCATTTTATGGGTTAGAGGATAGGTGGGAGGAGTAAACAGAACAGGATACTGGGAGGAAGAGGAAGTGAGCTCAGAGTCTCGACAGCTCTCCTCTCGGGAGCAGACGCCTGAGAGAGATGCCATGCCCCGCTCCCGGGATGAAGCTCCGACCCAGGATGGACATAGGCTAGAATCTTCCTGGTAAGCGCACCTTGGGGTGCCATACACAGATGATTAGAAATGGGTTAAATTAATATGTGAGAATTAGCCTAGAAGAGAATGGGCCAAGCAGTGTTTAAATGAATACAGTTTGTGTGTTGTTATTTCGGGCATAAGCTAGCCATGCGGGCGGCTGGGGTGCTGGGGACGCAGCCCCGCTGCCCTTAGTACTACACTTATATTGTATTGTTTTAATAAAATGATGATTGGCCAGTAGCCAAGAAGGAAGTAGAGGTGGGGCAACCAAAACAGGAGAATTCTGGGAAGAGGAAAGGGTCAGCCTGCAGTCATCATGGAGGAAGCCATATACAGAGGAAGCAAGATGAGAATGCCTCACTGATAAGAGATACTAAGCCATGTGGCTAACACAGACAAGAATAACAGGCTAATTTAAGATGTAAGAATTAGTTGATAAGAGGCCTGAGGTAATAGGCCAACCAGTTGATAATTAATGTAGACCTCTGTGTGTTTCTTTGGGACTGAACGGCTGCGGAACCAGGTGGGACAGAAACCTCTGTCAACAAATGGCACCCAACATGGGGCTTGAACTCACAACCCTGAGATTAAGAGTCTCATACTCTACTGACTGAGCTGTCAACAAGGACCTCCTTTCCGGGTGTTTACATGCTGCAGGGCTCTTGGCTGGGTGCCATGAGAGAGCAGGAGAGAACACCTGACCCTCACCAGGGCTTTGACTTTACTAGAGCGACAGGACCAGGGCTAGCAGGGTAAACGAGAAATGAGATAGAGCAGGCTAAGACTCCAAGGAAATTTGGCAATCAGAGCTAGTCCAGTTCACTTAGATTTGAAACATTAAACAAACAAACACACCGCATCTCATGAAATGTAAAAGCTTCTGCCAACATTCATACGAAGTTCTCATCAGGTTCTCTGATGTCAGGGCCTGAGTGAGCAAGGGCTGATACCACTCACTATGCAAACCAAAGACCTGCTATGCTCCCTGTTCCACTCTACACTAGGAGGCAGGTGACAGTGGCTCTCCAGGAGCTGGCAGCCAAATCCAAGTTTCCTTGGCACAAGAATTAAACAAAACACTTGCAGCAGGGACTCAAAGACTCCTTCTTTGAGATGCAAATTCCCCCAGGAAATGAAGGTTACCCCCCACAATCAAAGACATAGACAGGGAGGAGGCATTCTTTATAATTTTATCAAATCTTAATAGGACATTTTCCCCCTAGGAATAATTGTATTCAACTGTAGATATGCAAGCCTTTTTGGATCCAGATACAATTCCTTGAATGGTGCATCTTGTTGAGTGGTTGCTTCATCTGTTGGCACATGTCCCTTTCACATTTCCGCCTTGGCTGCTTATTTCCAATATTTTGTAAAGCACAATTCTACAGGGAAGAAGAATGAGTGGAAGGTGACATGGAAAGCCACCAGTGGAAAAGTCACAGCAATCTTCCAGTTAACCCAGAGCCCAATGAAAACAGGTTCCTTCCAGAGCCTGGGAAGGTTCTCAACCTTCCTAATGCTGTGACCCTTTAGTACAGTTCCTCATGTTGTGGTGACCCCCAACCATAAAATTATTTTTATTGCTGCAACGTAACTGTAATTTTGCTATTGTTATGTAATATAATCCATAGCATAACTATATGAGTCTTTCAATGGTCTTTGGTGAACTGTGAAAGGGTTGTTTAACTCTCCAAAGAGGTCATGACCCACAAATTGAGAACCTTTGGTCTAGACAGATGTCCTTCTAGTGAAGACAGTAGAGCCAATTTACTGATTCTAGAGGCCCCATCTGGAGGAATATGGTGTTCTGATCCCCCAGACATACTGCAAAGACCCTCAGCATGTATCAAGCCACTCAACCTTTAGGGGCCCCAGCAGCATCTACAGCACTAAAGAATACACTGTGGGCTAATAGGCCCCATCTCTCTGCAGATGGCGGTGCACTGCTTCTCAGGCTCTTTCTCTGTGAGTTAGGAGAACAATGCATCTCCAGTACTCAGTGCAAACCATCAGAGCCAGTGGCTTCTAATTTTCACATCTCTCTGGTAATAAAAATATAAAAGATCACTGTAGTCTTCTCTCCAGGACCATGCCAACGTTGAGAAGGCCTCCCTACCCCAATAGTAAAGAAAGCTAATAGAATAGGCCTTGCTATGCATAGGGAAGACCTCCCTTCTCAGGTCATGACTTCAAGAACACTGGGGACAGTGTTTCCTTGGGAACTGACATACAGATGTGTGTCAGAGCCCTTTCCTGCTCCTGTGCCAACCTTCTTGTCCTCGAGTTTTGCATACCCTTCCCATAGTCTGCTCTGGTCCTTGCCCTGCCCCAGACATGCCATCGCTGCATACCCACTGCTTCAGGTAGTTCTTGAGTTCTGAGAAGTGTAATTTTGCCTGTTTTCCCCTTGACTGTGCTTAACTTTCATTTCTTCCTTGTCTATGTGTCAAGTGCCCTTTGGAGTAGGGGGATTTTTTGCAGCAAAGATACACCTCTGCCCATCTTATTCAAGCCCTATCATGGTATTGTAGTACAGAATTTGATTAACCAGTAGCATTACTCCCCTGCACCCATGATAGACAAAGACTGCAGTGTCTCCTTGAGAACTAGACTTGAGAGTTTGCTCATCCTACTGTGGTCATGGGAGAGAAGATTGGTGATGAGAGTTCAGAAGTCCAGTAGGGAATTTGGTTCTCCCCATTGGTTGCAATTAAAATGTGAGTATTGAGGTTGCACTCCAACTGAACCTCATTTTCCTTCTTTCCGTAGCACCTGAGATTCTCCGAGGCTGTGCCTATGGACCGGAAGTGGACATGTGGTCTGTAGGAATAATCACCTACATCTTGTAAGTGACAAAAGGCAACCTTTATGCAAACAGTCTTTGAGTAACATTTTCTAGGTATTAATAATTCTCATGACAACTACATTGACCTCTGACTTCTTGTGATGTTCCTTTTTACAATAACCGCACTGATAGCATAGTCTCAAATGATGTGATATTCCGTTTTACACTAACTGTGCCGAGAGCTAGTCTCAAAATCAGTATTGCTTCTTACTGTTGTATTTCCCTGGAGGTGAGACACTGTCCAGGGCTTTTCCTTAGCTGATTTTCCTGTATAATATACCCACATTTGGGAATGTATTGCACGATCATGATAGATGTGAAACCTAAGTCCACCTGCCGTACTCCTTTGTTTATGTATTTGAATCTTGCTGAACAGACTGGTGGCCCTTTAAGGAGATCTGTTATTAACTTCTTAAGAAATCCCAAACTAGCACGTTTCTTATCAAAATATTTTGAGCGCATTTACCTATTGATTTATTTCCTATGTGTTAAGGTTTCAAGGGCCTTGAGCTAAACACTGAATAAAATGAGCTGATGATAATTCATTCTCTGTCCACTCCATCTCCATTACTGAACTGCTGACTAATAAAAAAAAATGACTTCAGGAAGTTTGCAGAGTGGGTGATGGAATTGGAGGTGACAGTGAGGGAAATCATATGTGACCGTGGCTGTAGAAAGCTAAGGCAAGAAGATATCAGTCCACCCAAGAACTAACACACAGTGAGGCACACGTTGGCCATTTGGCAGGGAATGCAGTTAGTTTTGGGAACCTATAGCATGCATCTGTGGAGAGAGGTTTTCCAGGGTTCTGAAGAGCCGGTTATTCATAGGTGAGCTGCCTTCACCCACTGTATAGTAGAGTGACCTACACAAGCGATATTTACCTTCTCACAGACTCAGAGGTTAGAAGCTTTAGGTCAGGGTGGCTGCAGGTTTGGGCTCTGCAGAGAGAATTCTTCTGGGGTTTCAGAAAAGTTCTTTTGTACTGTGTCCCTATGTGTCAGAGAGAGAGAGAGAGAGAGAGAGAGAGAGAGAGAGAGAGAGAGAGAGAGAGAGAGAGAATCTTAGCTCCTGAGCTTTGTAGAATACTTCTATGATGCTAGGTGGTGGTGCACATCTTTAACCCCAGCACTCAGGAGGCAGAGGCAGGCAGATCTCTGGGCCTTTGTAGCCTGCCTGCTCACCCCTGTGTGCCGACACTCCCCTCACACAGGTGGCTCAGGTGCAGGGGTCTCTGTGCAGACTTAGCAAATGAAAGTGCATTGCTGAGGTTTATTTTGCTCCCAAGTTCCACCTTCTCCCAGATGGCTCCAGATAGTTGTTTTATTTCTCCATGCTCTGGGGCAGCCTGGCTGGCTTAGAGGAGGAGTCGAAGAGGATATCGTTTAACTTTTTGTTATTTTCCCATTTGATTTTCAAAAGAAACATGTATAATAAATGCCTTGAAAGACTGCTTTTTTTTCTCTTTTTTTCTTACATAATATTTTATTTATTATTTGGGAGTTTCACGTAATGCACCCTGATCACATTCAATTCCCAGTCTCCCCAGGTCCACCCTCCCCCCTCTTATGACCTTCCCCAAAGAAAAGTAGATAAGAGAAAGAGAGAGAGAAAGGAAAAACTACGAAGTCTAATTTGTGTGGCCCATATACTCACTTGGAGCATGGTCGATTTCCCAGAGGCCAGTCCCTGTAAGAAAGCGGCGTCCTTCCACACCCGCGCCCCTGGAAAGGCCCTTGCTTTCTTTAACTGCCTTTTCCACCTGTGATCCAGAAGAGCCGGTTGTCTCTCACCAGGGCAGGCTCAGAAACCCCAGAGCAGACTCCAGCTTTTCCTTCCCCCTTGCATGAGATGTCAGAGGTGTTTCCCCGTTCTCACACTCTGTTTCCTTCTCTCCTGACCCTATAGTAGAAAGCAAAAGGTGAATCTAATCAGACATCTTTAAAATGAGGGCCATTTACAAGAAAGAAGTCAGTCTGCGCTGCTCGTCTGTTGACGGCCTGTGCTGACTAAATTAATAGCTTCATCTCTGTTTGTTCCAGTCTGAAATCCAAACCAGGATAATATATGAAAATATCCGACTTCTACTAACTTTTGTAGATTGCTATTTCTGTCCACTTTTAAGCCTGTATTCTTAAACTTTTCTGTTTTATACTAAACTGAGGCCCTATCAATCTGTATAATACTTTTTTAATTTTCAAGAAAAATCGGCTGGAAAAATCATTACCATAACGTCTATAATATTAGCAATTTTAATTATAGTATTTTTGTGCCTGTTGTTGTTATGGCTTTTAAAAGAAATGTGGTTTCATTATTCTTACTTCTTGCAGCTGATGTTCAGGTTTTATGTTGTCAGTCAATAAATTCTAACAAAACAATTACACACTTGTACAGGTAGAGTTACTTGTAGAGAATATAGAAGAAAGATTTTGAATTTTTGCAGAAATTTGATGAAGTATACCTCATCTTTTAAAGATATTTGATTCTATCTTTTCTCTCCAGACTTTGTGGATTTGAACCGTTCTATGACGAAAGAGGCGACCAGTTCATGTTCAGGAGAATTCTGAATTGTGAATATTACTTTATTTCCCCCTGGTGGGATGAAGTATCTCTAAATGCCAAGGACTTGGTAAGTCTGACCCAAACAAAATGAGATAAATAATTTTTGTTATTAAATACAGGTTTATAATTATTGTTTTGTTTTCCAACACCTGAGAACAAAAACAAATGATATTATCTACTAGAACTGTTGTAGGAGGCTGCTAGTTCATTTCCTGGCTGCCCAGACTCCAAAAATAATCATACAGAGCCCATATTATTTGCAATACTATTTGTCCAATAGCTTAAACATATTTCTGGCTAACTCATATCTTTAAATTAACTCATCTCCATTAATCTATGTATTGCGATGAGGCTGTGGCTTACTGGGTAAAGTTCCAGCTTCTGTCTCTGGCGGGTCTACATGGCTTCTCTCTGACTCTACCTCATTTCTCCCAGCATTCAGTTTAGTAGAGATAAATAATTTTTAAAGACTTATTTATTAATTATGTATACAGAGTTCTTCCTGCATATATGCTTTCAGGCCAGAAGAGGGTGCCAGATCTTATTACTGATGGTTGTGAGCCACCATGTGGTTGCTGGGAATTGAACTCAGAACCTCTGGAAGAGCAGTAAGTGCTCTTAACCTCTGAGCCATCTCTCCAGCCCGAGATAAATATTTTTTAACTAAGAGATAGTAAAAGACATTTTAGAATAGGCTGCTTTTGACATCATTGCTTCTTTGTAACTTTAAGGTATTTTCATTTAAAGGGAACACTGATGCATTTTCATTTTGAAGAATGAAAACTCGATATCCTTCAGTCCTCATTAGCTGAATCATGGTAGCAGCATTAGTTCCAGAATCTTTCCTACCTGGTAAATAGAAAGTCTTTCAAATAACACTGCGCTCTGGAGCCCAGACACCAGTCACACCGAACTCTGCTTTGATGTGTTTTATTCACCTAGATGTACATGTACTTCAAATAAATATAATTGGATTTTCAAACATTTTTAAACCTATTAAAATACTCTGACAGTAGCATGAGCCCTATTATGTGCCCCTGGAATTATAAACAAGGTCCACTCTATTAATAGAATGGTTTATGGCTTGTTGAGCTGCTTCGCATTCAAGCTAATACTGAAGCCTATTAACATTCGAGAACTCCCTTCGAGAGAGAACTCTTGTCTCTTCTAATAGAAGGATGCTTGTGTACAATCGCAGCCATCGTTCCTCTGGAGAGATTTTTAAAATGTGCCAAAATAATGGAGTTGATTTTTTTTAGGTTATAGGGGATTTTAGGAGCTTTCTAGTCATGGATTTGCTAAGTGTGCCAAAGTTTACAAGGATTTCCAGCAGAAAGGAACTACTAAAACTCACTCGAAGGCAGGTGGTGGTGGCGCACACCTTTAATCCCAGCACTCGAGAGGCAGGTGCATCTCTGTGAGTTTGAGGTCAGCCTGGTCTACAAGAGCCAAGAAGAGCTAGTTCCAGGACAGGCTCCAAAGCTACAAAGAAATCCTGTCTCAAAGCCCCTGCCCCCCAAACCAAAAAGCCCTCACTTTCTCCAGCCCCTTTCCCAGGATTTATCCCTCCAAATACTTCTCCCTTTTCTTTCTGTTATTCCGTGGAACAAATTCTTCAGGATCTGTGACTTTTCTCATGTGAGCAGGAAGGGCGGCAGTCTACATAGGTATGTAGATATGTAACCCCACTCCTGAATACATCCGCTTCTTTCCTTCTCTGCCACCACTGACTCAAACCAACTCCCACCCTCTCCCACCTGGCCCACAGCCACAGATGCCGCTCTGGCCTCCCTGCTTCTTCTTGTGCCCTTCTAAAGTATGCTCACACAGAATCCAGAGATCCCTGCCTTACACTAACTGGCGTCTGCACCGCAAGCGTGAACCAGAAAACGCTTCGTGACATCTGTTCCTTATTTAACTTGCTTTTCGATTCCATTAACCTGTTTTCACTTTGGTGGGGTTTTAGGGCTGGAAAAGAGCTCATAGCTCAATGATCGAGAGCATCTTATTTTACAAGAGCAGAGTCTAGGGGCACTCTAGAGTCTCCACAAAGTCGTCCATAAGATGAGCTTCATATAATGGAAGCCTGAGTTTGACTTCAAACTCTACTAATGACTAAGTAGCTAAGGTTTTGGAACATCTTTCTGCTCTTCACTTGTGAGTTGGAGCTAATGGTTCCCAGTCCATATGTTTCTGTGACTGTGCTGTGAGGGTAGTTAAAGGCATAACCAGGACGTGTGCCTCCCTGAGTCCAGGTAGTGCCTCCATCATACCAGGCCACTGCTTCTGAGCCCAAGGCTGGGAAACATTTCATTTGTTGGTCTTCCTGACAACTCCCTGTCTGTCCATCTTCACAAGAGTAAAGCTTCCAGAATGGATTACCTTTAGTTAAGTTTAGTAACACCAAGCATGTCATAAGCTCAAGTTTCCTTCTTTTTATCCTTAAGGGACTTTTATTCCAGCTCTGAACTTATCCCTTAAGTGCTTTCAATGAGTTAAAGAAAATAACTATAAATCTCGATGGGATCATAAAAATAGTACTTAGTAAGGGCTTGACCACTAACTTTTGTTTGCCATTTAACCTCCCCGAAAAAATGTTGGTGCCTGAATGACTATTCTGGAGAGACATAGTTCAAGTTCTGAATTCTAAGTGATTTCATAATGTGGCCTAGAATTATTCTGATGCTGGTTCTACCTTCAGAAGGCATCTATCTGGTCAGTAGACAAGCCAGGGCCTAATTCTGTGGCCTCTGTGGAAAGAAATTTGTGGGTTTGGCGCTACAGCTGGTAAGTGCCCCGGTCTTCCAGGACACCTTCAGCTGCTGCTTCCCTGAGTAGGCCCTACTCTTGACAGTGTAAGCTCTTTCAAAAACATGCACTTAGCACTGTTGCTAAGAAGTAGGGGAATACCTGGACATTCCCAGTCTGAAGGCAAGCCCAGCTTCTCTAAGTCTATATTCTTTATGATTGCAGGTCAGAAAACTAATTGTTTTGGATCCCAAGAAACGACTGACTACGTTTCAAGCCCTCCAGCACCCGTGGGTCACAGGAAAAGCAGCCAACTTTGTGCACATGGACACGGCTCAGAAGAAGCTCCAAGAATTCAATGCTCGGCGCAAGCTTAAGGCAAAACATGTGTTTTTGTTGCTTGTTGTTGTTTTTAAGATGTCTTTTCTTCCTTATTCCTTTTCTGCCACACCAGGGGAATCCTTGGTTTTAAATTCCTAAGACACTGACATAAAACCACTTAGGGTTTGATTTTTGTTGTTTGTTTTGTTTTGGTGTGTCTGTTTGTCTTCTCATGAATTCATCATTAAGAGAAAGAAAGTACTTGAAGGAATAAGTTCATAGCTGGAGTAAAAACCAGGACATGAATACTTGTGTTATACGTTTAAATTACAAAGTGTGTGTGTGCGCATGTGCTCACGTGTATGTGTGTGTGGTGTGTGTCTTATTTACTTTCTCTGTGTGCGCCCAAGCTTACCAGTGTGTGTCATAGCATGCATGTGCAGGTCAGAATACAGCTTGAGGGAATCAGTTCTCTCCCTTCCACCATAAGCCCCAAAGACTGAACTCAGGATTGGTGGAAAAGGCATTGTTACTTCCCCTACTGGCTGCTTCTTATCTAAATAAGGCAGCGTTCAAGAAACTTGTCTTTATTCAGAAAGTTTCTGAACCCGCAATAATTAGGAATTAACTTTTAAAACTATTCCATACTATAGATAATCATGAAAAAAAAGTAAGTGATACAGAAAACTGTTCACCAAAATACATGTTTTATAGACTATACATAGAGTAGCAGTGAGGTGCATCTTCATGATGTTTAGGACTAGTTATACAAATAGCAGATCTCAGAGACTAGCTGGAGACCAAAAGCAACATCTTTTCTGTCGTTTTGCACTGATAGGAAGGAGATCCCAAGCCTGATTTTGAAATGGCATGTGTAAATAGCTTTGGCTTAACTACTTCTGAAGCTAGTTTGAGCATTGCTCTTTTACGCCCATGATACCAGCCAGCATTGTGGAGTGAGTCTTCCATGAAACATCCTTTGGAGAATAGAAAACTTTAAGCCACTCAGAGGAAACCGCATCTTACTCATGTTTTCAATTGTCCAGACAGCCAAATAATTCTAACTTGTAATTAAAGGTTTACTGTTCTTTCTCCAAATACCTTTTTAGCTGACAACCAATCTTTGAATCATTTCCTTTTCTTTGAAAGGCTGAACACTAACCTGTAAAACAAAGCAGAAATTCTACCGCCATTTGGGATTTCCCACAGAAACACGATTTTGTGCTTTTCTCTCTAATCAGGCAGCAGTGAAGGCTGTGGTGGCCTCTTCTCGACTGGGAAGTGCCAGCAGCAGCAGCCACAGCAGCATCCAGGAGAGCCACAAGGCCAGCCCAGATCCATCTTCAACCGAGGATGTTACTGACAGCACAGCTGTTCTGGGAAAGAAGATGCAAGGAGACCAGGTGGCTGCTGAGGGCACAGCAGCTGAGATGACAATGCTGCAGGCCGAGGGGCAGGAGAAGGATGCAGGTGGGAAAAACAAGGAGGTCTCCAGGATGGTGATTCAGGCGCTGGAGGATGGCTTGAAGACACGTGACCCCACAATGAAGAGGCGCTCGGTGGAGAAGCTGAAGACTGTGGGGGAAGAAATGGACCCCAAAGCTGAGGAGGAAAGCCCTGCTGCAGAAGCGCAGGATGTGATTCTGCCAGAGTACTAATCTGGCTTCCTTTAGGTTCAGAGACCAAGCCAAACATTTGATGTACTTTGTCCTTCAGCAAGGAAGGTGGGGGAGCATGACATGCACTATTGTGATTCTGTTTTGAGGTGCAAAAAAAAACCCCATATATACCAGTTGGTAATCCTAATTTCAGTGCATGTGTTTGCTTTATGAAACAATGCTGTCTTCTACGGCATGTAGTGTAGACATGAGCCCCATGAGTTAAATTTGGAGTTTCCAGCAAACAGCACAACACTTTAAAACAAAAGTTCTTAGCCTTTTGGTGGCATATATTTGAAGTGAAATGGAAAACTAATTTTTCTTTGAAAGCTTAGGCATCCCATACCTCCCAGAAGTCTTCAGAGGTGGCAATTCCTTTGACCTCAACTCAAATAAAGACACATTCCCATGACTTTCTGAACACTTCCCGTGGGTTCAGCTTGACATATAAAAGATACCTGTAGAGTGGCCAAAACCATCTGCCACGCTGAGACATCAAAGCATGATGTCTTAGACCACGAGCCCACAGCCCCCTTAAGAGTGTGTAAAGAATGTCTCATTTTATTAAGTATGCTATATAAGAATTTCCAAAACATTCATCATAAAATTCTGCCAGTTTACAATTCTTAGGATAATATTAAACTGTGGTGTTTCTTTCCTTCACCTGCTTTTCACTAAAATGCCCCATCAGATGTATTAAACCTAGTAAAAATAAAGAAATTTAAGTATAATGATATATAATTTAAACTTAGACATACCAAGATTAATTCCTTTTTACTTTTCATATAAATTTGCATTTGTAAGCTTATATAATATTTTGCGTATAAGAACATTTTTGTGGATATACTCTGCAAATAACAAGTTTCAAGTTCTGGAAAAGCCCATTTCAGAAATTGGTGCCAAAATGTCTGAATATAATAAGAACAATGCATTCCATTGTTATATAACTTATTGCTGATGTTGTTACAGTAAGAAAATGTCTGCAGGAGGATTCTCCCCTCCAGCTGTGTAGACATTCTGTTCATGAGTTCAAAATTCACTATAACAACTAGTGTCTTTTTTCCTTACATAGATGGAAAGAGGGCATATTTTATGATGAAGAAACTTTCCATATCAAGAAATTCATATTGTCTTAAAAATAAGCAAAAACAAAAATAAAGTGAAAACAAACCTTAAAACAGACTTCGGGGAGGATAAAGCATTAGACCTTAATTAGCATGATACTTTTTTCCTCAGGATTTCTTTGTTTCATAGATATTACACTAAATGCAGTATCAAGTTTCTTGAGTGAAAATGACCACTTTATTAAAACAATTGCTTTACATTTTTGGTGGGTTTTCTTAAATTATAAACAGTATGACTTCCAAAATACAAAATGAGGGCAAAAAAATGAGCAGCACAGATTTTTTTTCCATAAAATAATAACTTAATTTGTTCTGGCTCACATACAAGCATTTGCACTGGGAAATTACATTAGATCTGGGGCCTCTCCAGGCTGTTGGGGGCATCAGCGCTTACACAGAGCTCCAGCAGTCCTGGGGAAGGAGACAATGGGGGGCTTCTTGTAGTCTGTGATTTGGGTCCTTGACAGGTGGGTGACTTGAGGTTCATTATCTGAGCTTCGGTGATTATTATTCAATTGATTTTAATTAGTATTTACGCTCTCATTTTACTTCTCCCCTCTTTAATCTCCCTCAGAACTCTCCTTTCGAGTGTCATAAAGGGCTATTTTAACCTTTAAGAAGGCTTTCTTAAGATTTCCATTTAAGAAGAACAATTTCCTAGTGTGATTTTCCTCATCAGACTTAACATATGTATGGCAAGTGTTCCATATTTGGAAAGAGTAAGGGTCTTGATAGAAGGTGTAATTAGACTATCAGAACACATATAGCATCACTCAGCCCCAGTCCAGGTCTGTCTTCATTCCAACATGGCCTGAACGCTTTGGATGACCCTGTGAGCTTTAAGAAGAGCATTACATATGCCAAGCCCTTGAGTGTTTTAGAATTCAGTCATTTAAATGATTGCACCTTACCCCTTCTTGGTGATACTCAAGAGTGTTAGGCTAATTCTTCCTCTTTTGCAACCTATATACTTTATTAGCTAAGTATCACTAGCACCTTTCTGTTGTAACTTGTATGCTAAAGATGGTCCTCATGCTTCCAAAGAACTAAGTCCATTCACGAGGAAACAAGTCAAATATTTCAGTCAAATCATGCAAACGTTTAATAGAAATATCATCTAAGAATAATTGTTTTACACAGTCAACATTTATATTGCTTGTTAAGATTAAATATCTATCTGAAAGATTATTGGAACTAAAGGAATACAATCTTAATTTGAAAGAACACTTTCTAATATCACTCTTAGTTTATAATGTAGTCACAAAACTAAGTAATTTTTAAAATTTCAGCAAAGAAAGACTAAATTAAAATTTGCATTTAAAAGATGACAGCTACAAGGTGGGAAGTGGTGGTACATGCCTTTGATCCCAGAACTCAGGAGGCAGAGGCAGATGGATCTCTGGGTCTGAGGCCAGTCGGGTTTACAGAGCAAGCTCCAGGACAGCTAGTGCTACATAGAGAAATTACCTCGAGAAGTCCAAAACAGAGAGAGAGAGAGAATGAGGAGAGACATAGAGAAAAAGAGACGGAGACAGAGAGGACAGTTAAATTCATTATTGGTTTTTATTTCAAGAAGTTTAAGTGCATAGCATAATTTGGTTCTTTTATCATAGAGGACAATCTTCAATTATTTCCCCCACTCAGAAAGTCTAACTATGGTTCCAGTGGGTTTCTCAAACTGTTAGCTCTTTGTACAATAGCATAAAAATAAGAGATTAGAACAGAATAGTTTTAAAATTATCGTCTATAATAAGTGCTTATATTAAAAAGTTTAATGTAAATATAAGCTATACATGTAACAGAAAAATTCTGAGACAAGGTTTTATTTATCCAAGGCTGGTCTTGAACTCACTATGTAGCCCAGACTGATCTCAAACTCACAGTGATCCTCCTGCCTCAGTGTCCCAAGATCTGAGGTTACAGGCATGTGCCCCCACTCCCACAGCTATACAGGCATCTTTAAATTTTCTATTAGCTACATGCTAAAAAGAAAATATGAAATTATGATAGTACATTTTAATCCAGTATACACAAATTATTACATCAAAATTAAAATTAACGAGATCATCTGAGTCACTTTTATTCTGTTTCTAAATTAGCAGTCTAAGCCTGTTTACATCAGGTGGTCAGGAGCCACACTATGGTGGACACACAGGTCTAATCTACAACACTCTTCTTTTGAGCAAAGTGAGACTTGACTTTCTATGGTTAGATGTGAGCTGACATTTCCACATTGCTAGGTTGGTAAGCACCTAAGATGCTGATGTTACAGACATAAATTCCGAAACATGTATCAGGCTACTCCTGAACATACTTTGTCTTGAGAAGTGTTCCGCAAGCTTACATCAAAGCAACACTTCCTTAGGCATTGCCAAATTGTGTGTGTGTGTGTGTGTGTTTGTGTGTGTTTGTGTGTGTGTGTGTGTGTGTGTGTGTGTGTGTGTGTACTGCCCCAGAGTCCATCTGGCTTGGGAATCCTGACTGCATCTAGAGTCTCCTGAGTACTTCCATAAAATCAACAGTATTCTCACTTAGCAGAAACTACTGTTGCCCCCGTGGCCCCCCACTGAGCAGTCTGTACACAGAATCCATTCTCTACACATCAGGCTAAGCTGGACATCCTCTTGTTGGAGGCAATCTTTCTAGAAGCCTCCTGAGAAATACATTTGCATGACGGACATGTTATGAGGTGGTGATTGATATGCCAGATACCCACAAATGTCCCAGGATGTGGTCACAGCTCGCACTTGTGGGGTTCTGGCAGAAGGGCCTGATTAACGCTGTCACTGAACAGACTTTTTAAAAACTTTTGGAATTTTTTTTTTACATACTGATTTTAGAATAATTGTCAATATCCTGTGGTCATTTTCAGATTTATAAAGAAGCAGCTTGCCTTCTAAAGAGACCTCACCTGCATACATTTGACATTTCTTTTTTTTTTTTTTTTTTGGTTTTTCGAGACAGGGTTTCTCTGTGGTTTTGGAGTCTGTCCTGGAACTAGCTCTTGTAGACCAGGCTGGTCTCGAACTCACAGAGATCCGCCTGCCTCTGCCTCCCAAGTGCTGGGATTAAAGGCGTGCGCCACCACCGGCATTTGACATTTCGTACTGTAGAATGTTCGGCCTTTTTTCACTGGCTCTTCCCAGTATTTTATGCAAGGTTGCTCATCGGGAGCTGCCTCCAGGTTGAAGCTTCGAGAGCCATTTTTTTTTTTCATGATTCAGTTTTTATTGCACAGGAGCAGCTGGCTGCAGTTTAGATTGGAAAGAAGAAAAGAAATGGCAGAAAAGACAAAGGACTTCTTTAGGATCTTAGGATTGTTCTCACAAAGCCAATAAAGGCCTTTTAGAAGAGGCCATGTAAGTGAATTAGCACCGGGCTCACATACAGCACAGCCAAGTGCATAATCAGAATACCATTGTGCAATCTGCTCATCTCTGCAGAGTACTCAGTCTGGGTGTCTACGTTTGAGACAGCATAAAGTTTCCGGACATTAATTTATGTAATGAGAGTTGTAATGTCTTTGTAATTACTGTCCATTAGGTCATATTCCAATTTCCTCAATGTTTATCAGATACATTACTGAGCAGGGTCATTGCTGACATCTGAGCACTTACCAGTTGAACACTGAAGATTAGACTGTGTCTGCAGTGGTGGCTTTTTGTTTGTTTCTAACATGAAATATAATTTTTACTTTGGTATTTATAGTCAGATGATGAAAATGGACAAAATTTTCTACTTAAAAATTTTGTCATCTTACTTTCTTATAAAAAGGTGGCTCTCTAGTTCCTTGAAAGTGAAGTTAAGATAGAGGAGGGAGGGAGAAAGGGAAGAGGGAGGAGGGTGGGAGAGATAGTGGGGCGGAGACACACATATTAGTTACACACCCAGTGTTGCCATGGTAAGTTCACTTCTTTCCATATAAGGACACACTTTTGTCATTATTACTTTGTGAAGATCACCTGAGATCAAGCAGTGTAGAGCCAGTTCAAGCATTATACTTACCTTGGAAAGGAGTAGCAAACAACTTCTGATTAGTTATATCAGTTTTCATAAATGATCTGTGATGTATTTGGAAAGGGCTTGACTCCGTCTGTTCCCAAGAATCTGCCCGATTCCACTTAGGGCAAGGTCAAAAGCTTGCCAGGAAACCAGTCTGACTTTTGCAGGAACTCGTTTCAAAGAAGAGCCCCAGCATCTGACCAAGTTAGACTCAGATCTCCTCCCATGCTCCAAAGGACTGAAAGTGGTCTCTTTAAAATTATATTGCTCTTGGCCAATGATAGGAAAATGGGATTCTGCCAACCACAGTTCTTTGCATTGCTTTACCCCCAGCTTGTCCCAATGCAATGTTTTGCTCTATTTGCCCTAACAATCAGTCTCACTTTGGAGGTTTTCTAAGGTTCTGGCAGGAACATTCCAGTCTAGCTAGAGAAACAGGTTTTCATTGCCCCATAGTTCAAATTGAAGCGCTAATGAGCAATTCTAAGAATACAAAATCACATTGTTCATAATTGTTTTCAATATACTCTGAGGATTGACCTGAAAGACCCATAGATATAGAATAGTTATATTCAGTCTGATCTTTGCTTTGGATCATTGTGTTCAAAAGGACAGATATTTAATCTTCCTTCAGATTGAATATTTTCCACCTAAAATATTACTTCAAGATATTCAGATGCAATAGGCTTCACCTTTTTGAAAGCTATTTCCTGAAGCTATCTCCAAATTCTGATAGTTATGGATGATAAAAAGTCTCTAGATGTGTGATGTCTTCATATCTTTGAAACAAGTATTATTGTATATTTTATAAAGGACACAAGTATGACCATAATTTGAAAATTATCATCTCCTATGTGCCTGTCTCCTTTTAACTTGACCTAGTTTGTATGCCTGTGCAACTATGTGTTCATCAGTGTAACTAATACACAATTTGTATAGGATCCTAAATAGCATATTCATGGTTAATCTTCTGCTCAGTGCAGTCTTAGCTTCAGCAATATCTTTAAGACCATCTGTAAACCGAGAGAAGGTTCTAGCGTCTCCTAAATTTTCAGTTCTTTGGTTGAAATGACATAAGAGTAGTCTGTCATTCTATGTCCAACAGATCTTGCTGTTCCCTCTCATGAGCCTGATGAGTGGGAACCGTGACTTGAGTGCAGACAAATCCAACAAATGAAAGTTACAAACAAAATGATTATCAAGCTGTTTTAAGATTCTTAACCAGCTTGGATACCAATCATTTTCATCTCTGGTCTATGAGATACGCGTATGTATCTCAATACACACTGTGTGTGTGTGTGTGTGTGTGTGTGTGTGTGTGTGTGTGTGTGATAAACACCAAAAACAATGTGAAGAGGAAAGAGCTTATTTCATCTTAGAGGTGACAGTCCATCATCATTCAGAACTCCATGGCAGGAACCTGGAGGCAGAATGTGGAACAGAAAGCACGGAGGATCACTGTTCACTGGCTTGCTTCGCCCATCTGCTCTGATACCCCATCGCACCCCCCACCTCCAGATAGGACTGTCCACTGTGGGCTGGGCCCTCCTGCATCAATTAGTAATCAAGGAAATGCTGAACAGGCCTGCCCAAAGGTCATCTGATCAAGGCAATCTCTAATTGAGACTCCTTCATATCACTTGAGGATACTTCAAGTTGACACCTGAAGCTAACTAGAACTATTTCCCCACGCTTCTCCATGGAACTGAATTTAAATCTCCCAAGAAGAGACTTCAGGATTCAGGCAAACTATGACTTAAAGAGCAAATCTTAATTTAGGGCTTCGATTACTATCTTAACTCAAACCATTTTATTGTAACAGTCAGACTCATTTGTGGATTTTTTTGTTGTTTTTGTTTTGTCTGTTTGCAAGCTGCTAGAACAGCACTGAATATTTTCAATAGAGACCACACAATCTACATCACTCAAAATGTCTATGTGGTCCTTTATTATTTATATTTTTAAAAAAGATTTATTTATTATGTATACAACATTCTCCCTCCATGTATGCCCACATGCAAGAGGAGGGTGCCAGATCTCATTACAGATGGTTGTGAGCCACCATGTGGTTGCTGGGAATTGAACTCAGGACCCCTGGAAGAGCAGCCAGTGCTCTTAACCACTGAGCCATCTGTCCAGTTCCTATCTGGTCCTTTATAAGAGAAATAGGACAACTCATTTTCATTGCTCATGCCTCATGCTCTGTGATTACTTTAGGAATCCATGTTCCAAAACTAGCATTTTTACCTTAGTTACAGTTATTTCTCATATTTGCTGTTTAGAGGTTAGGTGAGCTTTGTTTCATATTGCAAATGGTCTCACAACAGTTGTGCAAGAGGTATAATTAAAATTTCCATGGGAACAAAAATGCAAAGTTATATCATCTCTGAAAAAGGAAATTAGTATGACAAGTTACAAGTAGATTTCCAGTTGCTTGAACCTGGTTTAGAAACTTTAAACACAATGTGAATTAAACAACAACAAAAAAAACCACAAATAATGTTCACTCACATTTAAGCCAAACTGGAGTCCTGTTGCTTAGCAAGCTACAGAATTTCTCATAATACAATGAAATAATTTCTAGCAATTGGATTTTCATTAACAATTAGGGAATAGTGTGCTATTTTTATGAAAATAAATTGCTCATCAATAGTTCAGAGCACAGAGAACTTTAATAGCTACTTTCCTACACCCCAGTTCTCTGAATATTCTAGATTTCATGTGAAAAGAGCCTTCAGTACATACTTTTCTAGCAAATTTAGAAACCAAGAAGAACCCTTGAGTCTATTTCTATCTGGAAAAATTACCCATTCCAAAGTATCTGCCTTAAGGGAACCAAGTAACCCCGCTACGGAGGGAAATTTAGGCACTTGTGGCTTGCTTCAGTTTGACTTCCTTCATTTGTCACAAATGAGAGACTGAATAGGAAGCGATTATCAGCCCATTGTTAGGAATATCAACCGTTACCATATGACGGAATGGCATAGTCTGTTCTTTAAACTGTCGCAGCAGTGGTAAGATGAGCCAGCCACTGGGAAGTTACAGGATGTGGGAACAAAAGACATGAGTCATCCTCTGGTTAGCACAGGCAGGGGACATTGGAAGGAGAGGGGGCTGCACATTCTTATCTGTTCATCTTCTAGATGGCTCAAAGTTTGAAGCCAGTTATTGATAAACTTAAAACCTTAAAACAATTCAAAATCGATAGCTACTTTTCTTCCTAGAAATCAACAGCATGGCTTAGAGGCTATTTGGCCTTCATGGAAAGCAAACTTTAAGGACGGGATCACTAATAGCAAAAGGCTCCCAGAAATAGCCCATTCCAGGAATCCTTTTCTCACAGTGCATGTTCACGGACGAGCCGTTACTTGTACTAGGAGTCAGACGTGAATTAAGCTCAGTGCTACTCTTCAGCTGGAAAGAAAAGGCAAACGATCACACATATCACCTATACTGAATACCTACAGACAGTAAAGCCCTCCCGGGCTGGACAGGAAAATGGTCTCTTCTGCCAAGAATGTACAAGGCTGATTTTGAAAGGTCAGACCAACTCTGCAGTTAAGGAGGACAAAGGGGCCATCTCTAAGGTTGGGGAGAAGGGTTGGCACTCGATGAGAAAGGCTGAGGCACACAGTGAAGTGTTGTGCAGGGTGCAGCAGTCTCAGATCTAAGCTCTGGCTCTGGGCAGCTGCGGGTGAAGCTCTTCTCCAGAGCACCTGCCCTGCTACTTGGCCAGCCTCCTAGTCTATCTCAGCAGGGTAAAAATCCCCCGACATAGCGAATGCATGCTTTTGTAAGGCCACGGCTAATCTTCAAACTTCAAGTGGGTCCTGCCAGGTTCTTAATTCTTCACTCTTTTGTCCAGTGTATATAATCTACAAGTTTATAATTATAAAACAGATAAAAATCGAAAGATTTTATTA